TAAACAACATGCAGCGTCAGAGGAGAAGTGTGGAACATGTTATCTTGAGCCATTTTTACACATGCTGAAATCTTATTTTCCCCTCCTGCTTTTGCAGTGAAGCTTAACGTTCTCATTGCCAGTAATTTCAGCAGAACACCTCTCTGCAGTGTGAAGCCCCCTGGCAACAAGGCAGTTAATACGCCAGTACCTTGCAGAACTGGAGGATGAAGTGGTTGGAGATCTAGGAGGCTTCACATCCTTCAATGGATGTCCTGCTGGGAGATGAAACGTATCCCAAGTGCCAGTTTGCTGTTGCCTTGTTTAAGGGTCAGTCCATGTGTAACTGTTATTTCAGTTTTCGGGAGATGCTGGAGAGTTAGGGCATTTGGCAATTTCTCACACCTCGCATGGACTGTGTAGGTAAGATCCCTGTGGTTGAGTTCCTGGGTCTGCACACCAGCGGTGGCAACTATGAGGGGGCTCCCACTTTTCCTGTTTGATGGAGAACACAACCGGATGTGTTAGAACACGCAAAACACTCAGGGACTATGGTAGGAAGATTTTGTTGATGGAATATCCCAGACAAACAAGAAGGCAGGAGGTGACTCAGCCCACCAGGTTCCTTCTATAACTAACATATCTCTATTAGGTGGACTGGGTCTTTAATGGACCGATTTTTATTAAAGTGACAATAAACTCAGAAGTTAAATCTTAAAAATACATTCAAGTACCTTAAACAAAGGTTGTGCTCTGTGTGTGTCTGTTTGTGTTATGCAGGGCAACTGGTGGCGAGTAACTTTGAAGGCCTGGCTAGTAGCTCAGGACCTGAAATTTTGAGCCCTGCCTTAAATATGACCAAAAATGTATCTTATTTGTGTATCACTCGGCTGTAGATCCTCAAATCATCTCTGAATTGGTGCTGACCTTCCTTTTGGAGGGTGGCTACTTTTGTTTCCGATGGTCCTTGTGTTTTGTAAAGTAGGCACCACTCCAAGCTCACTCCCCGGTTGGACTTGCATCTCACAACACAAGCAGGGACCATAGGGAACAAAAGTAGCCACCCTCCAGATGGAAGGACAGAGAGGATTTCAGGATCTACAGCCGAGTGATACACAAATAAGACATATTTTTGTTAAAAGAGAACTATGGGGTAACCTTTTTATCCCATAGTTCTCTTAAGGGTCACGGGAGGACATATACTAGCGCCCTCCTGTGACCTAAAGCTCAGTATATCGCAAGCTACAGCTCGCTGTATACTGAGACAGCCGGGACGGATCCCAACAGTCCTGTCGAGATCCACCCAGCTGCATTAATGACAGCTGGCTCTGCCTATCTAGAGGCAGAGCCAGCTGTGCCTGCCCCCTCCCCGTCCATTCCTCCACTCAGTGCCGAAGGATCGGAGAGGGGATTGGGGAATCCCTGCGGGGAGGGGTGACTGAGAGTCACTGCTCTCTGCAGGGAGATGAGCGAGAAGTGAGCGAGTGACGGTATGCTCACTTCCCGATCTATTGAGTCGACGTGTGACAGTTTAATTGTCAAACGTCGGCTCGAACTATGAGCATGAGCGATTTTCACTCACCTCATAGTTCTCCTTTAAGGTACTTGAATGCATTTTTAAGATTTAAGTCCTGAGTTTAGTGTCACTTTAACAGGAATTCAAATCAACCCTTTTATGCATCTTATCACAAATTCATGAGTCCCATTTACAGCTCCTTTTAATGTTTCCATTGGGTGACGAAAGGAACTGCCAATCAGCAGAATTTCAACAAGTTATATAAGTTGTTATGTAAGTGGTGCATCAAAAGTTTAAAATGAGAACTGCCTGCAAACACCTCCCAATTTACACTTTCTTTTATGTTTAAAGCTTTGATTTCTATCCAAGATTATTTTAGAATCCTAGGAAGTTAAAGTGACACTAAGGAGCTCAGGAGCTAAATCTTAACAATGCATTCACGCTCCCTATTTAAAATGTATCTTATTTGTGTATCACTCGATTGTAGATCTTCAAATCATCTCTGAATTGGTGCTGACACTGTCCTTCCTTCTGGAGGGGGGCTACTTTTGTTCACCATGGTCACCGTGTGTGTGTTGTAATGTTGCCACCGCTCTGAGCTCACTCCTGTGATGGACTACAATCTCACATTTAGTTTACTAATTTGTATTGATATTGTAGTCCATCACAGGAGTGAGCTTGGAGCGGTGGCAACAATACAACACACACACAGGGACCATGGGGAACAAAAGTAGCCCCCCTCCAGAAGGAAGGACAGTGTCAGCACCAATTCAGAGATGTTTTGAGGATTTTACAGCTGAGTGATACACAAATAAGATACATTTTTGTTAATGGGGAACTTGAATGCATATTTAATGATTTAACTCCTGATTATAGTGTCACTTTAAAGTAACAAAGACATATGTCTTATATTAACCCTGCTTCCCATTTTGCTTCTACATTGTCTGAGACAATTTTGCACCTTACAGACTTGAAAATGTGTAACCCCCGCAGCAGGGGAAATTTTAGGAAGCACAGAATAAAAAAGATGATTTAGCACATCCCACGATAATTGCACCTTTTTTAAAAATAAAAATACATTAATGTGTCTCTGTTTTTTTCTTTTTCTTTTAGCAGCTGGAACAGTTATTCTGCATCATTGGAGATCTAGTGTATTCCCATCTATAGCTGAATGGGCCAGAGAAATGTGCCATATCATGAGAATGGAGAGTCTAACGACATGACTCTTGTTATCAGACCTGGTGTTCATGGCCCCTATAAATGGACTCAGAAAATGTGAAGATGTGAAGCCGTATTTACAATTAGACCGCTGTACAGATTGGAATTATTTCCTGCACAGAGGGTGAAGAGTTCGTGGTTCTTGAGGGGTGACCTGACCCCATCTCTTTCTTCCTCCCTACTACCTCCGGTTTGTCTGCCTGTTCCTTCTTATTCTTCCTATTTTTCATTCTTTTTTTTCCTTCCTGAACTCTTTTTGTATCTACCTCTCCTTCTTCCTTTCCTCTCCAGTATGTCCCCTGTTCCTGCTTATCCTTCTTCCTATTTCCCGTTCTTTTCTTTTTTTTCCTTCCTGAACTCTTTTTGTATCTACCGCTCCTGCTTCCTTTCCTCTCCAGTATGTCGCCTGTTCCTCCTTATTCTTCTTCCTATTTCCCTTTTTGTCTTGTTTTTCCCCTTCTGAGCTCTTTTTCCCTCTGCCTCTACTTCTTCCTTTCCTCTCCATTATGTCGCCTGTTCCTCCTTATTCTTCTTCCTATTTCCCTTTTTGTCTTGTTTTTCCCCTTCTGAGCTCTTTTTGCCTCTGCCTCTCCTTCTTCCTCTCCTCTCCGCTATGTCCCCAGTTCCTGCTTGTTTTGCTTCCTATTTCCTTTTTTTCCATTCTAAACTTTTTTTTACATCTACTTCTCCTTCTTGGCCATCCATGACAACATCCTAACTGAAATTATCACCTGAGCTGGAACAAAATGTCTGGTACCTTCTGACACTCATATGGATTGTGCAGTTCTCATCCTGCAATCAAAGTCTGCAATGTCCGGATGGCTTACAGATTCCTTTTACTATGGCTTATAGTTTTCTTTTGTTTGTTCTATAATACATGTCAACATATCTATTCAATGGTCATGTGTTGTACCTGGAAGTCCTGCTTCTGTCTACAATTTAAGTGCATTTGGTTTATCTTTTTAAAAAAAATAAACTTTGCCATTACAAATGTCATTGGTTGCGTACATGAGCACAACAAAATCTTCCAAATTCCTGCATGATGTTAATGTGAATCTATGGTTAAAAATATATTTTAAAAAATAGCTGCATTTGCAAAAAGAAGCAACACACTCTTTAGCTGTTTGTGCCAACAACGGCTTCTGTAGTGAAGACAAATCACCCGCTGAAGAAACTTCTGAATCAGACACCTCTAGGAGTGTCAATATCCTGGTTCCCTGCTGTGCTCAGTGGTTCCTCCCACCAACCTCTATGTCACTACAGGACACAATGGTGACATAGGGGTGACAAACCACTGAGCGTAGCGGGAGACCAGAAATCTGACACTCCCGGAAGTGTCGCTTTCTAAAGATTCTTCAGGGGCAATTTCTCTTCACTGTAGAAGTGATTGGTACTGCAAGCAGATGCAAAGGTGAATACATAAGTGCATGGTCTCGTTTCCTTTCTGATACCTATTATGCAGCTTTATTTTAGATATTGCTTTTAGTGACAAAATTGCATGATGGTGCTGCGTGACAGAGCTATGTAAATCTCAGAACTAAATGGACAGAAATACAAATCATGTAAGGGGTAAAACAGCTCTCGTATACAGTATGTATTTCTTCTGTGTATTTAGCTGGGTTGTCAAGAGTTTGGCTTTAATGTAATCACGGGGCAGTGCTTTGTGAATGGCTAAGCAGAGAAAAGAGGCTGAGGTACACCGGAACTGTTTCTTGAAAAGAAACTGTTACAATATGGCAGCCACTTAATGGGGCTTTGACAAGAGTAACAATGGAAACACTTGTTTATTAAAGAGGAACTCCAGCATTTTTAAATGTTAACCCTCGCAGTGAGGCTACCCCTGCACTGCAAGGGCTAACTGCTAGTTCTTGGTCTAGAGTTGCAAATAAAAGAAATATATATGCAAATATACTCACCTGATCCTCAATCGTATGCGAGTTCTCACAAGCTGATGCGCCAGAGTGAAAATGACAAGACACACTGCATGCGAAGGTTCACGCGCCACCGCTCCGCGCTGCTTTGCGTGCAGTGCCTCACAGGCTTGAGTGTCCTACACTGACGGTGTAATGTTGGGGACATTGGTACCA